CCCCAAAACCCCAAAACCCCAAAACCCCAAAACCCCGAGGATAGGGTGGGAGGTTGAGTTAGTCAATTTTTATGTTTTCTATGTCGTCTTTGAGATTTTCGACCTTGTGGATGAGGGTCTGGTAGATGCCGTCCCATTCGTCTTGGCTTTTTATTGAATCGATTAGAGACATATAGTTTCGTTCTTGGGCTTTCCATTTTTGAGATGCTGCATGGTGAGTGATATTGCTAAGTTCAAGCTGTTCTTTGATCGTTTGAAGTTCAGATCGAAGTAGTTCAGAGTCCCTACTAATCCCACAATAAGAATTATCAATATTCTTATGCCTCTGATTTAAAATTTCTGAATTCTGATTCTCAGACTGGCTAATTGTAATATCTCGAATCCTCTCATTCTCATGTATACCTTTAAAACTATCTCTGGCTTGATACTTCCTTCTAGGAATTTTCCCAGGATGCAGAGATATTAACTTTGTTTTCCTTTTCCCCTCCTCTTTCTGCGTATTCATACCTAAACCTTATTCCTTCTTCTTACTCCTGTCACAATTCTCCTTATCTCTCATATCTCCCAACTGCTTTTTCAGTCTCCTAATTTCTTCTTTCAGCTCATCATTTTCCCTAAAAATCGCACTAAATTTCTTCGTTGCCCAAAATCTAATTTTGGCACTATCTCAACGAAATTTTTGAGAATTTCAAAAATTTAAAAGTGCTTACTTCTTGGCTAAAAATTAAATGTTAATAATTACCTAAGTTAAGCTTCTTACAGAGAACGCTTGGTGATAAACCTCATCCTTTAACGGGGTTAGTACAATTGTCTGTAATTTTGAGTTGTTTGTGGAGTTTTGTGATGGCTTTTTGTTCAGATGCAATGGCAGATTTGTATTTTGATAGCATTTCTGATTTAGAGAGCTCAAGAAAAGCAATGTCTTGAGGTGAGTAGATTTTTGAGGTGTCTTTGGAGTCTTTTGGATTTTTGTTATCCCTATCCTTCATCTTATTCTTAATCCTATCAATCCTACACCTCTCCTCCAAATCCTTACTTAGAAATCGCCTTCAAAAAGTCCCTCTTCCTTGAAAAAGCCCTCTTTGATTTTGAATTATTTCTGCAGGGCAGGCACCTGCACTGAAGTATTTCCGATAGTGATCGGGTTTACCTTATTTCAAAGATTTTGTACTTGAAGTAGCTAGATTTTAGGTTCAGAGGGTCCTAGGGGGCCATTCTTACATCTTTTAGAGTGAGGTTTCTTGATACTCATCTCAGAGTAGTTGCTTAGTACACTTCTGTTATCTAGAGACTTGGTTATGGAGAGGGATGTACTTTTTCGTTTTTTGTATTTTGACATTTTTTAAATCAAATTTTTAAAATTCAACTATTTTTACAAAAATTGGGGTTTTGGGGTTTTGGGGTTTTGGGGTTTTGGGGTTTTGGGG